AAGCTCAAACGACGCTATCCATTGAGGCATCCATTCTGGGCCAGCTGCTCTAGGCAAATGAATTCAAATATTTTGGAAATGAGTAATCTATACAAAGGATTTTCATATGCTTCTAATTACTCTACACAGGCTAAGTATGGAATCCATCCATCAAATGTTATCTAACCTTGGCTTGCATATGACGTAGCTAACTATTTCAAGCCAAAGTTTTATCTCAATAGACACTCTCAATATGTATATCACTGATCTCTTAGCAAACAAAACCAATGTTGCACCCAAATGAGAAGTTCAGAAATTCTGTGCACCCAGTTGAAAATCATTTTTCACCTGGTTGAAACTCAATTTCCAATGAATAAAAATCGGGATAGTTTGAGCATTTTTAAATAGTTCTTGTCCAAAATAGTCAAAATGAGAATTTTGCATGTATGGGCATAAATTTGGGAGGAGTACTGCAGGTTTCAAACAGTACCAGATTTTACTTAGGTTATGACGTAAAGGTTAGCATAGTAAAATACTAATGGTTCACTTGAAAAAAATCTATAATTGTCGCATTTTCATCATAATTGTCAAAACAGACACAAACAGCGATAAATTCATAATGTCTTAATTGTTTGAAAAAGGTAGTCAATTTTTGGTACTCATTATTAGTTTAAAGGGAACGAACCAGCAGACAACACAATGTATTAGATTACAATTTTGTTGACTTAAACCTGACCCAATATTGATCATCGTACTATCTCATACATACTTTATGGTTTTGAATTATGGAATATCATTGATAAAATTTTATTTCCAGTCTATCTTAAAAAGTTTGACTCTCCACCTGCAGAATTTTATGAAGATTTCTTGAATTCTAGAAATGTCAAGTTAAATTCTAATCAAAATTTGTTCTCATAAGCATCGATCGATTAAATAGCACATAAAATGTGTTGACTATAGCCAGCATACAGCTGGTTTAACCAAACATATATATGTATTTTATTCCTTTTATTTTTCCTAGATAGCTACAAAGCAAAACAATGGTTTAAGTCAAGTTTTCTCTTTGGAATTAAACCAACAATGCGCTGTTCTCTGCTGAGAGGCCATCTGATTCAATATCAAGAAAATAATTTGATATCTTTGACATTCACCAATTAAGAAAGCATTGTTACAGGCCAGGAATGTCTTGGATTGTCACAAAAAGTGATTCAACAATTGATAATAACGAGAAAAAACACTCGGCAGGTTTTTATTTAATAAAATCAAAGGTCACGTTGTTAGACAGATAATGAGACCAATAACTTGAAAGAATAGGTTAAGATCATAAAAAATTGTAAGATAAGGTTCTCGTTTATTTAGATTGTCTCGCATCTAGTTTCTAGTCACCTTTCTTATCTAATACCCTTGCTTTCTATGTAATTAAGGTGTTGAAAGAATAAAACAAGAAAAGTTTGTGTGTGGGCAGAACCATCACAATAAACTATAAAGATATGATACTTCAGGTATCAAAAATGTGAAAAAATCTCAGAGGATTTCAATTTTTGTTTCCTCTACTACAAAAATTTCAGAGGAATATAGAGTGACGAATCAGAGAGCCACTTCTTTTTAAAATTATCAATGTCATTAACTAGAACTGTATACATGTAAACTACTATGAAAGCACAAAACAAATATTTATTTTATGTACAGTATATGTCATCTCATATTTAATCTAGAGCAATGATGAAAGTACAAATGAATAAACCCAAGATATGACACTGCAATTTCACAACCTACAGTACATACTAAAATAAACCATACTGATATAAATAACATTTCCTCAGATTGATTCAAAGAGGCTCCTGTAGTCCTGTTCCATATACCCTGAATATCAACTAGCTGCATTTTCCTCTGACTATTACCAATGACTTTTGAGTTTTTAATTCATAGCTTTTCCAGTGAGGCATAAATACACAGGCCAGGCCGATAGCCAGGTTTTGCCAAGGGGTTTCACTTTTCAAAGAAAATCCAGGGGCATTCAACTTCAACAACTTTGGCCCAACTTTGAATGATTTGGAAAGAATTCTTGACCAAGTTCACTTGCCCCCCCCCCTCCTCTTGGCTATAGACTCGTAGAAAATACATTTAATTATGTAGAAATGCCAGAAATGATGACACTGTTCATTGAAATTTCAGGAAGAAATGCAGTAGAATAAGTATGAGCATTGAAAATTATAGGTGAAGTTAGACATAATTCTAACAAGATAACAGCCACAGGTCAATAGGGGTTTTCTGATAAGAGATAATTAAGACATAATACATTGATAATCCTGATGATATATGTATCAATGATGATATCAAAAATGATCATGGTTTTGATTCAATGATGATAACAGAATCACTCAATGATGATTATATAAACCTTGATTCAATGATGATACCTGTATCTCTCAATGATGATCATATAAACCTTGATTCAATGATGATACCTGTATCACTCAATGATGATCATATAAACCTTGATTCAATGATGATACCTGTATCACTCAATGATGATCATATAAACCTTGATTCAATGATGATACCTGTATAACTCAATGATGATCCTGATTTAATATCGGTTGAAAAACAGATAAACAACCAATGCATCCATTCACCAAAATAACCAAATACCCTGGACATAAAAAACATATTCATTTCATTATACAATGAATCTACTAAATTATAAATAACAACTATTTTTCTGACCTATTTTAGGAAGATGTACATGCTCCATTCATGCAGAACTAGAGGTTACCCACCAATAGGTCATTTATCACAGATATCTTTAGTCTGTATAGGACTTGAGAACATTTTGTCTTCACGCCGAACATAAAAAGCCTCGAGGTCAGGTTAGGGCCATATCTGTATACCTGAACAACATGAATGATAAGTCAAAGGATAAACCCATGGTAACATCCCATGTATTCAATCATAAAATACAATGGAAAATAGTGAAAATTTGCATGGAATTTTGTAAACAGGAATGACATTTATACTTGCGATTATATAGAAACACTAGACAATTAGGCGGTTAATTCAAATTTTGAGCAAATTGGAAAGACCGAGGGATGGGCATATATATGTAGACCATATGTAGTGATATTTTTTCTTCACAGCCCTGTATAAAAAACACAGCTTTGCTTATAGAATAATAATTCCCATCATTCATACTTTATTGAAGTGAACAGCAAGACTCAGGCTCAAGACATTGAAAATTGTAAAAATAGACATACCGTATTCTCTCCAATGAACACAGAAGTGGCTTTTTTAAAATGGAAAGATACTGAGAGATTCCAATAAGCGCACAAAAATACAAAAAATATAGAATAAAAATATTGAAAAGTTGCATGTGCGCTCATTGGAATTGTGCGCTCATTAGAGAGAATATGGTAGTCTATATCCAGCCACTATTGACTCCCTTTCCACAAATCAATTAGAATAGGGGGGGGGGGGGGCAAGATATGGGCCTAGCACAAGACTTAAACAAATTAATGTACTAATATATAGAGCCCTCAAAAGGATTCAAAGCATTGACCACACACATGTTCAATAACAATTTTACATGGAATAGAATTTTAAGCTGGTAAGTCAATATCATTTACCAGAGATTTATCAAAATACTGGAGGTCTAATAATACCTCTAGCCCAGCCATAACATATGGACATGGCCAATAATCTTATTTATGATTAACATATTTGAGACCATAGGTTGGAATATATATTTACAGTACTGTATAAGGGGATTCTAAAAATAAAGGTTAATACAGTTCAGTTAACATACCAATGGCTTGTCATATGATACAAGTAGATGGATTGATGTCCAATGGTCATATATTCATTTACATGTATAATTCAAAACAGCTCTCCATCATAACAAGAAAATATGACAAGATTTCAAATGCTATAGAGTTAGTCCCTGGTCACTTTTCTACTTTGAGAATAGGGAGGGATAGCTTAACATGGGCTTGATAGTTGATACAAGACCAAAACATTGCTTATACAAAGAATTGATGTTTAAACCTGGAGGGGGGCATTTTCCCTGCAAAAGGAATACCCCCCCTCCCCCCATGTAATGTTCTGGCCCTTAGAACAGTACATATACTGTATATAGAGAGAGTCTTCACTCTAAATGTAAAGTAAATACCTCATAATCCATGTAATCTGACATTACATAAAAATAACTTATGTTCAGTTCAGTTATATGATACAGGCATGTAGTGTAAATGATTGGGAAAGATATGCTCCCCTGTGAGCTTTACAAGCAAGCTCCGCATGACATGAGGGGGTAGATATGTTTCGTAATTCAAAATCAATGAGGAACGAATGAGTAGCTTCATGGGAATTTTATATAAAATACAAAACTTGAGTTTTGAATTCGCTTTGCCTGAATGAGTGATCTCCTCAGCATTATAAAGCAAATAATTACTTGCGATTTCAAAAATAGGCTTGCACCCACCCAAGAATTCATTTGCACCCACTTGAAAATCAAACTACAGAGGCTTATATAACAGGGTAGATAAAACTCTATTTTGGAAGGGTTAACCAGAAAAAATGATCATTGAAATGTTTGGCAACCATGCAATGTAAAACTAGGTCAGACAAAAAGGTTTCATCTGACAAAATTTAATCGAGACACGATTGTCTATTAAAAATTTTGCAGGGCAATATGCCATGTAAAGATTATGGGTGCAAATGAGGTATTTGATTTAGTAATAAGATGATTTTGATTATGGATCAAAATTCACATTTGTGGAATGATGACCTTTTTGAACTTCTCATTTCTCTCTCCTATTGTTCAATGGAGAGAGAGATATGATTGCAAGAGGCACACATTTATGAGGATTTCTATCTAGACTGATACCACTATAGTAATGTAAACTTGCGATGGAAACACAAAATTATGTATATTTTGCAAAAGATCTTCTATATTGTTATGTTCTGGACACCCTGTACATCTAGTGCACGATGCACACCACGAAAAGTCAAAATAATATACTCACGAAAGAGATAATTGCAGCTAAAAGAAGGATTTTTACGAGTAAATCATCGAACTGTTCCAAGATGAGCTCCCACAGAGGTTTACCTACAAATATAAAGATGGCGTTACTAGTCATTCAAATCTACAAGTGAATATATAAATCAATCCCACATTAGAAAAAAGTCAAAGATCATGATTTGACTAACAAAATAGAGTTCTGATGAGTAAAATCAGTACTTAGAGGAATATAATGAACATCCATGATTCATTCTGAATTTTGGGGATTCAACAAGATATCACAAATGAAGGACTGTTATAATCAAATGTTCCAGAGTACCAATTAAACCATAAGGATATAATAATACACATAAAATGAACACTATCCTGGTAGTTGTGATTTTTAATTAACATTTGTAAAAATGATTTATGATAGGAAAAGGCAACCACAAACATCAAGCAATAAGAAGTAATATAATATTCATTATGCTAAAAATATGAGGAAGTTGACCAAGAGGATTCTCATATGGCAGTTTTCTGGAAAAGCACTTCTATAGAATCTATTTTACTCAATAATATGATACAGAATGAAGATGCTGTTTCTCACTGAAAGGGAGAATCCAAATAACATTTCAAAGATCACAATTTAGTGTTTATTGTCATTATTCCTGATTATCATACCTATAATCTACCCAAAGGCACCCTCACATATGGACCAATCCATTAAACAACAGTCTTGCTAACGGAAGCGCGTCTCAACACATGCTTCCAAAGCCGAATGAAGCATACTACACACCAATAATGTGCAACGTAAATATACTAATGGGAGCGAATTTAACTCAAGTCCTATTCACAAAACTACATTTAGTGGATTTGTTCGTGTGAGGGAGCTCAAAGGTGTCATTAGAATACGTTCGAAGAAAACAATGGATATAAATTAAATATTCATTCTTCTAATGTACATACATGTACATAATGTATCTATATCAAATGTTTTTTTCAGTAAATGTTATATAGGGAATGGTTATCAAAGATTCTCAGCAACTCTCCGACATATTCTATCTTAATCTTAAGGATGATACAATCTGACAGAAATATTTTGACTACTGTGAGCATTTATGAATAACTGACTTTGGCATTTGATATATGGTTCATGAATGGAAACTTGTAATTTTATAAACTCAGGTAAAACTGCTGTTTTACCAATTAAATGCTCAAAATTTGGTGTTAGCAAGCCAAATGTACATTTCACACCTTCAAAATATCTTATGTTTGCTTTTTGCATTATTTTCATTAAGCCTAAGTAGCAAACTTATAGGTGCTTTGCAAAATACCTTAAATTTCATGGTTTGGTCAAGTTGATTACAAAAGTTGGTAATCTTAACAATTGGGGCTTTCATGGTGTCAAATCAATCATTTAAGCTGTATATGTATTAACTAATATGTAGATTAACATTTACTATCTTTAGTTTTGTCAACGTTCTGTTTTATACTGTGTTGCTCACCTAACTATTTAATAAGACAGTCACGGTATCATAAGTTTCAATGGTTTAAATGACTTTTATGGCTAAAATCACGGACAGTATAATTGTATCTAATTAGTATACTATACATGCAGACATGATCAACATGAACCTACAGCAGACTATTTAGTCCACGACCTGATGAAGTTTTAATAAAAACTTGTCATACACAACTCAGTGTATTTAAAAAGAAAATAAATCAAAATAGTATATTATTTGGTATTTCTTAATATCTATTGTTTCATTAACAAGATAAAAATGCTTGTATCTACTGAACCAAACAATAAATGTAGTAGGGAACTCAAAACTTTAAGATGTAAGACATGTTGCATAAGAAATAAAATATTAAAATACCCCCAACATATCCCCTATCACTGAAACAGCTGATTCTTGGGAATGCTAAAAGGCACATGTATGATGAGATGATATTGACAGCACAGTTGGCCTATCAGTATATGACGTACCTATGGCAATAGATCATGAATGTATTATGTACAAAATCTGGAGGTTATTTCTGGAAAATGGATCTATCATTGGATTCTTGAATTTCTATCGTAAATTTACTGTGTATCTGTGGCAATTAAACCTTAAAACACACTGCCTTATCGCTAAAATCAAGCACCTCACTACAAAAAGTAGGTGACTGAATTTGAATCGCAATTCATAATATTTTCAAGAAATTGGCCTCTTGATTATCGATACTGTGCTATGATTTTCTTCTTGAATTAACCAACTAGTCTCGTTTCTAGATCTTGTCATATTCACTTGGGCACTAGATTTGAGAAACGGGGATAATATATATACCATAGTAATTTACTCACTTCGAGAGCCATGTTAGATTTTGAAACTTATGGCTCTCAAACGGAGAAGTGAACAGCTGATCAATAGTGACCTTTGAAATTGAATTAAGTCGATCCGCGGCTTACTTTTGGTCTCTAACTGTGTCTTACATCAGTATCATCAATCCGTGTAAGTATTGGAGCGCTGGAGTACTTCTTTTTCGATCAAGACTTGTAAATTGTTCATCGAGTTAAAGTTTTACAGACCTATTTCCAATATGGCGGTTTGCTAGGTGCGAGATACGCAACGAACGAAATGAATTTTGAGAATTAGTTAGGTTCGGACAACCTCCGGAGATTTACGAAAATGTCCGAGCAGAAACCGCCATATTGGAATTTGGCAGTAAAACGATTCACTCGACTAACAATTACAAGTCTTGATCGAAAAAGAAGTACTCCAGCGCTCCAATACTTACACGGATTGATGATACTGATGTAAGACACAGTTAGAGACCAAAAGTAAGCCGCGGATCGACTTAATTCGATTTCAAAGGTCACGATCATTGAGCTGTCCAAATGCTCCGTGGGAAAGCTATTATATCAAAATCCAAATAGCTTTCGCAGGAAGTAAGTAGTAATGATTTCCGGCTTTCCAAGTGCAGTGATGTAAAATTAGGGTTTACGACAAAGATCCCTAGACTCAAGATTAAAATGGATATGATTCAAAAATGGAAATAATAAATCTCATAAATTTTGATGGTAGCAAATCAAGTAATGCAGAATATGAAGAAAGTAATGACGGGACTCGTGGCGATATAGATCTAATGGCTCAAAATTATGCTTACCTTCCTCTGCGGGCAGTTCTGAAAAACAGAAGAAAATTCAAGTTAGTTTCATTCAACGATACATTCTAGTGACAAGAATAATTGCATAAAACTACTATTAACATGTACTCTAGCTCATCCCTTTTCAGAATACTGATTATTAAAGAACATACATTTTTTTCAATGATGCCAAATCAGCTGATAAGAATTTTGACCTGATTCAGTGCCAATTTTCTTTACAATGGGAAGGGCTACAAAGCTGAAATTTTGAACAGACAATAACTAAATGTCACTTACCATTTGGACCGTATTTTTCTTGAGAACTGCGTACTTGTTCATCAGATAATCCGACCTCTTCGTCAACTTTAAAAGTTGCTAAAATTTCGTCGTTGGGTTTGGTGTGTGCTTCATCCATTGCACAGCTTTCTGTATTTTCCTGTCGTCACCGAGCACTCATAAATGTTATAAAGAATACGGATCCGTGATGTTCCTGATCCCCTAAAGTTATCTGTTAAAATGGTCGAAAAATACTAGCGAGAAATTGGTTATTTCCAGCTATATTTTTAGACAACTTTTCACAGATCTCACTTCGAAGCGAAAGAAGTGAACAGTGTGGACTACGGGATGTGAAGGGGTGTTGCGATAGAAATATTATCTCCCTCAAATTTCACTATAATTCGTCCTTACTTTGCAGCAATAATCATCGAAGACAAAGATATAAATATTATGCTTTCAATCGTGCAATTAAATGTATGATATAATGGAAAGGTAACGAATTATTCGATAAATAATTTCATCAGAAAACAAGGATGACGTGTTGGACTCGTCCAAGATAGAATGTGGTGAATTCTGATTGGTCAGTATAAGTCACGTGCATTACCATTTGGCCAAAAATCTCTGACGTCAATGTTTCTAAATTTAAAGTGACTTCTTTGCTATTTTTGCCAATTTTATACCTAGGTCTGATACTATTACACTGCATAAAACCTATAAAGCCGCAGGTATGCCAGGAAAGCAATTAGCTGGCCAAAGAACACAACCCCCCTTGAAAGAAACTTTGAGCCAATGAACTAGGCAATGAATAAGTGTACACTTATGCTCTATGGTACTCTATGGGCGCCTCTTGATTGTCATTGTGCCAAGAACCCACAAGTTGACCCTATACCCTCTACGTTGCAATCTCCCCACCCTGGTACAATTTTTCATTTAGAGATATCCTGTCATAATTAGGTTCTGCATTCGAAAAGGTTTATACTTATTTTTGTTATATACTTTATTTAAAGTGACACTGAAAGTGTAAAATATTTGCTCTGATTTTATTCTCAGCATCCCTCCTCCCATTCTTCTTTTGTACAGATAATTTTCACCTGCACTTAAAAAGACAACATTTAGATAAATAATGTTAAGGTAACCCGACAGAACTGCATTGCTTCCCATGAAGTAAGGAAAATAGATGTCGCCACTTGATGGAAAGTTTCTCATTCCATTAGATCTACAAGGTACATGTAAAATGTTATTCCTCAGTATCTATGCTCATCTCCTGACCAGAAGTTCATATTCATTTTTGTTCAGGTATTAGTCAGTTTCAGCTCAAATGGTCAGTGTGGATATAAATTACTTGAGTTGAGAATCTGTGCAATCATCATTGATTAGTGATTATAGGATTATAGTGATTACCAAGTTGTCAGGACTGTAAGCAATGGATACCTAGCGTCAGAAAACATGGCAGAAAACAAAAATACTCCTAAACTCTAATTATCAATAGATTTATATGGATCAATTTTCGCATAACCTATCTGAGATTGATAGTCTTATACTATTTAAAATGTGTTAAGGAAATGACATTGATAGACTGATAAAACATGTAACATGTATCTGTTTGATCTCATATCATGGACTCTATGAGGAATATTAGTGTCAGAATTATTTGTACATGCAGGCCCGGATTTCCCAAGGGGGGGTTCAGTTTTCAAAAATTTACAGGGGGGGTTCACATTTGACAATTTTGGCCCAAATATGCATAAAATCACTAGAGAAGTGCTCAAAATAGTGAAAAACTGCATGATTTTGAAAGAATTTTTGGCCAGGGGGGGGGGGTTCGCCTGAACCCTGCGAACCCCCCCTGGCTACGGGCCTGACATGCATCTAGTCTTTTTTGATACAATATCCTTTCTTAGCACTCCTGAGGTGAAACCGCTTTTCATATCAATGTAAATTATTTGGCACACTGTCCTCCTAGCATGCATTTGTTATAACTGAATAAGTTAATAAACATGTTTTATTGTGTTATTGTTTTTTTATTCTTTGCATATCCAAATTTATAGACTTAACAAATCAACATTAAACAACAGCATTTAGTGTATACTAAAGTATATGTACTACTATATTGTATTATAACAGTCTTCAGTAGTTACATTTTTTACATATACATGTCAGCCTATTACTGTACAAATAATTTTGGAGACAAGACAATAGCACTGTCAACAAAAATATGTCATGTAACCAACAAATGATCAGAAGGGAGGAATAACACAGTATTACACCTCACCCTCCTAAATATGATGATGAATCGATGATGATGATGATGATGATGATAGCATTTCTTAATAGATTCATTTACTGTACCTCAGTCCACCTTTGGTACAGTCAACAAAATACTGCATACAGTACGTATTGATAGACATTACAGGTGGAAAATCATCCTTCAAAACACAGTCCTCCAAAACTTTTCCAAAAGAAGAAGACAAAGATTTGCTCATTGACTGAACTTTCTACACAATTTAGAGTGTTCACTTTAGAGTGTTCACTTCATGCCTGTTTAATTTATTCCTTGCTGATTCCACTCTTTTCCACTCTATTTCACATTTGAATACATGACCACCATGAAATTTTTGAATAAGTTGACACGAAACAACTTCCACAGTTGTAGTCCATAAACCTTCAGATCTAATACTGCAATGTCTTTTCTTATGTCGAGCGACTAAAATATCCTCTAACTCCCGAGTGTCTCTAGAATTTTGGTTTCCGTTTCCTTCCTGTAAACTTTGAATCTGGTCTTGTTTCCCTGCAGACAAAAAAAGAGATTGCTTTTTATCTGTATTTAATCTATGGATATTGTGTACACTGTAATTTCATTAGATAATTTATGATACATTTACTCTCGTTTTATCAGCCAAATTCTGCGATGGTATTCTATTTAATCAAACAAGATAAACTGTACTGATTCTTATTGAAGTTTTTCGTTAAGACTGGCGGGCATATTTGGATCAGGATATAAAAGTAGAAAATAAGTGGCATATAAGTGGTAACGATTTGAAATAGGATTGCCATATTCTAAGTTGCTTTTGTTCATGCTCTATCACATTTAATGCTGGTACATTATTATTGGAAGTTAGTGAAACTAGCTGCTGCATAACACAGTAACATAGCATTACAGGAAAATATATTTCAAGTATCTGTACCTTCCTTGTCTGCGTCTTCGTTCTTTTTTCTCTTGTATCCAGTCTCGACTCTTTTTTAAACTTTTACCACGAGCATTCTTTATTCTTTCCCTGAAAAAAAGGGGAAATGCCTTTATTTAACTTTTATACTCACATGTGAGCTAAAAACAATAGGGTATCTGACGTCTGAGGAAAGTGTTCTGTACAAACCCTTAGAGATCAGATTCAGAGATCTCAAAATACAGAGTGAGCGAAAATGTCAATTTATTTTCATAATTTCTGATATCCAATCAAGAGTATTGACGAATGACTAAAACATGCCTGTTTACGTTATTCCTGACTAATTTCACTTCTTTTTTTTCTACTTAGCATTTGAAAGCAGAAAAACAACAGGATTTCCCTTACTGATTAAAAACCCCTTTTTTCACATTAAATATCTATAGAGTGAGAAAATATGCAATGTAAAAATTCAATCAGCACATACACTTTTTTTTTCAATTTCTCATTTATTCCATATATAACATAAAATACATTACAATATTATTGCCTACGTTATTCAACATTGTCGGCAATATACAAAACATATAAAAATGGAAACAATGAAAATACAATAGATAAGGACATAATATTAATGGCAGGGAATGTTAGAGGCTTCGGGGGGGGGGGGTTAATCTAAAATATCAAGAGCCTGGCACATACACTTCACTCAATAATTTTGGCAACTGAATGTTTTTACTGGATAGCATATCAAAACCTGTCAAGACGTGAATCTTAATTTTGTGACATCCAGTTGCCAAATTTATGGAGGGGAGTGTACAAATACTATTTTTATTACCTTTTATCACCAAATTGAATTTCATTTCTATTTATCTGTGCATCGTCTGTACCTAGACCCTTGGGCAACTCTTGTGAAGTACCACCTGTCATTAGACAAAGGAATATTCTGGAAGGACACAATTAAGGTCATTTATGGTAAAAGAAGAAGAATGACTAGTATGGAAAATATACATAAGAGTGATCACATAAAATCATTATTACAATAAAGGTTATGTAGCTATGACTTGGGAATTGCCTTGGTTCTACCATTATAGGCTGACTAAGGGATTGAAGCCATATTTCATGTTTTAGTTACATTGTTGATGTATTATAAACCATTATTTCCATGGCTACATTGTTTTAATGATGTCACACATGATGTCATGATATTGTCATGGTAATGAATAAAAGCTGACTATACTTAGAGGTTATGTCACTACGACATGAAATATGCCTGAGTTCTCCCAATATAGGCCCACCTTGGGAGGCTCTATATTTGGGCAAGAACGAAGGCATATTTTATGTGATAGTGACACAACTGATGTATTACCTTTATTCCCATGGCTATTTTGTATCAATGATGTCACACAACTGTGTGAGAAAAAATTTGATGGAAACGACACATGACATCATGATATTGTTATGGTTATTAAAGAAAGAGGGCAATATTGGTGTAATCAGCAGTATCGGTGGATATAGCCTACTTACTTTTCCATTGAATTCCACACAAATGCTTCACTACTAGGTATGTAATACTTAGAGGTTATGTCACTATGACGTGAAATATGCCTGAGTTCTCCCAATATAGGCCGACCTTGGGAGGCTCTATATTTGGGCAAGAACGAAGGCATATTTCACGTCATAGTGACATAACTGATGTATTACATGCCTTTGTTCCCATGGTTACTTTGTATCAATGACGTGATATCATGATATTATCATGGTTATTAAAGAAATCTAATATCAAAACGAGGTAAGCGGGCTATATCGGGGTAATCGGGCAATATCGGTGGATATAGCTCGCTAACTTTCCCATTGACTTCCATACAAATGCTTCGCTAGGTATGTAATACAGGCCTGTACAGTTCAAATAGGGTTATTGGAAATAACTAACACAAGAAACATGCCTTTCATACTTACTTTTTAGCTTTTGAACTGTTGGGATAGTCTACTACAAGGCCCCCTGTGAAACCTGCCTTCATTGCTTGCTGTGTAATCATTTCAAGTTGGAGACTATTTTCAGGATATAATTGGAATACTGCTCTACTACCCCTGCTCTGAAAGAAAAGGTCAAGGTCAAGGTCACTGACATGATGGTCGATGGACATTGAAGGTCATGGTGTTTGGGTCTCTGCCCTAATCTGAAACTTGATTTAACCTCTTATATACTTAAGAGATTTGATACCAGAGAATTTTTAAATCGTAGCTGTTTTTGAAATTTTAAAATCAAACTACAGTACACACACAATACACATTTTTTTAAATAAAATTTGTGTAGAATGGATCTAAATTGTCAGAGCAATTCCAGTGAAAAATATTCCCCTTTTATACTTTGAAATAAAACATGGTAAACTGAGAAATAAATCAAGATGAATACACAGGCAGACTGGTAGCTATATAGGGGGCCAAAATGGGCCTACCCTCCAAGAATATTTCTTATTAAAATTCCACTGTTTGGTGATTCTTTGATGATACCTATTTTTGGATAAAACTAGTAAACAGGGAAGAATTGTTGTTTGATTTTACCCTTTCCATAAAGCCATAAATCCTTGGATATGTTATTAGTTGTACATACCATTGCTGCATATAAAGTACTGAAGAATTTGTGTAGTCGCTTAGGAGGGTGGTGTGACTTCTTATCTGCATTACATAACCATTGAAGTGCCGATATACTGAAAAATTGATTAATTGGAGGTTATTATACACATGCTTTATTATAAATGTTAATACATGTGGATCTTTCATGAAATGGAATGAAATATTTGTTTTACATTTTTGTTCCATTGATGGGACTACCTGTGCATTTTTCATGCACGAGTAAAATTACTTTTGAGAGTGACACAGTTATTCACAAAAAATAATTGTTATCAAGTATTATTTTTCTCATTTTGTGTCAAGGGAAAGGGACAGAAAAAAGAATGTTAGATACTGTACTCCTGGTATTTTTCATGTGTGATTTAGTTTCGTGCTTTTCGCGATTGTGGTAAAATCACAAAAGTTAATCTTCGTGAAATTGTCAATTAAATCCCTGGTGATTTGTGAAATTTTTTATTCCCTGGGACTCCATTGCATTTCATGCTTTGTAAAATGTTTGTCAAGTGTTATTAGGCGATAAATGGGATACTAAGTAACACTGTCTCTTACAGTGGCTTATTAGATCAAATAAACCAAAAAATTACGATGTAATAGAGGTTAAGGTGCAGTGTGTCATTGACCAAAATGACATAGTAGTTGGTATACTTAGTGAAATTCACGAAATTTAATAGCCTCAAAATCATGTTTTCTCAAAATTCGTGAAATTAAAACTCGCTAAATTAACCGGAAGTGCAGTATATACTCTCTGCAGAAAGAGACTTAGATACATGCATAACGAGGCATTAGCATGTACAATGTCACAACCTGCCATTTGTTACAGACACTATAATTTGTGACCCAGTCCACAAAAAATGGAGACTATAACAATGTCACAATTTCTAGTGGTGACATAATAAGGGCCTAATTCTGGAGGAGGAATATTACATGGAATGTTTTTTTTCCTAAACATATCCCAAACACACCTTATTGCTCCATCAAATGTACCAGGTCTAAATGGCATGCCTTGGCCCATATCACTCTGTAGTAATGTCCCCTCACATTCCCTTTCAACAGCAACATCTATAATGAATAAAGAAAATCAAAATGAGAATTTCGGAGTAATTTTTAACCAGAGAAAATTCATAGGCCTATTCATCTTTACATTAACGAAGATGCAGAAAAGAACTATATTTTTACCGCAGTTATGATATATGAGGGTTGATCCGATAAGTTTCAAGTATCATTTTCCAAAAGTTCCAAACCGTTTGCTCTAAAAATCTTAATACTTTATGAATATTGTTCATATTTGGCCACAACCACCCCATAAATGGTAGTTACAGGAAAAATATTTGGATTTATTCATATTCATATCATAATACATTGCGCTTAATTCAACCATAAAGCTTTTGAGATGCACAACAATGCAAACTAGTTTTTGCTGAATATATACTGGCAATTCAATTAAAAGAATGTACTGCACTTATTGTGTTTAAGCATATTTCATAGTCCTCAGTGTAAGTCAAGCATAATGTCTCAAGACAAAGACTCATCAAGTACATCAATAGAGGAGACACATGAAGTAGACTAAAGTGTTTTCAGGCTTTGTCTGAAATTGAGTGTTTAGTTTAATAAAATTGCAACTCACCTAACATACTTGGACTAATATCACATCCTACCCATACGTGACTCTGTTCTGTTAAACATTCTCCACTCAGTCCCGATCCACAACTAGAAAGTAATATAATATTATGTATTTCAGCAGTTAAAGTATGGTGGAAAAATATCAACAGTTAGTTAATGAAAAATGAAACCAATTTTGCTTTTGGTATTAAACTCTCAAGCATGGAATTAAATGGGTTCTACACTTAGTATTGGAAAATTGCGATAAATCGAGAATATATCAAAACAAAACTAACAAGACTAACAAAACAACCTTTTTTGGGGTTGTCGAGTTGGCCGAGAGGGCTTGAGCGCCAGCACGTTTAGACTAGGCGATTGGGGCCGTAACCACGAGGTTGCGAGTTCGAGACGCGTGTGCTCCTTGCGTTTATTCATTCACTTATTGTTGGTGATGTAAAAATCCAGGGGTATGACAGAACTTACCCTATATCTAGTATGAAACAGGGGTGATCTGGAAGATCAAGTAATTCTATGGCACGTTCTGAAAGCTGCTGCTGTATCTCCATCATCCGGGAGCTGTAATATAAGGAAAACTTTAATAAGCAATGGAAATACTACATTATGGTATCGTTCAATCAAACATATATTGCAGTTAGTTTTCAATAATAATGCACCTCAAAATCAAAACCTAGTTGACAGTAATTTTGCGACATGCATGACAAACCTCCCTAAATGAACAATGAACATATAGTATTGAAAGGAAACGAGAGACACATATGACCTGGTATACAGAGAGTGGGGGTGGATTTTTTTCAGTCAATTTTACTATCTGTTCCGGTGCCTTTCTAGTTGACCCAGATCATAGGTATCTTTCATTTTATCATCACCTGTGCAGTTGTGTGTGGAGTGGATGTGGTCAATCGAGATTAGCCACAGCGATGGGTGATAATGTACATCTACAGTGCTCACCATAAATAAATGACACCTGGATTTGCTGAAGTGAGGATCTCCCATGTTACAAAGAAGAGAATTTTCAAGAGGCTATACATCGATCCGTGGATGAGAGTATACAAAATGTAAAATATCTCTCGTAAAGACCCTAAAAGTGAGGCCTGAGTCCAATGCGGGTGCAGGAACCTGTATCAACACGGACATCTATTGATCACCTGAAATAATGCGCTTCCTGAAATAATAAGGTTCTATTCTTAGGGTATAATCTGGGTATTATTCTTCCAGGTTGGGTCACCAATAGATGGCAGGTGTTGATACACGTTTCTGTGAATAGGAGTTGATCCAAAAATGAAAAATATCAAGAAAAATAAAAACTCACTTGGATGTATATTTTCTTGCTTCGTCGTCATTGTAGAACTACAAAAATAAAATGATACATGTAACATAATACACTCTTACTAAATTTAATAGTTTACTGAATATAACATTTTAAATTGGCCACAAACTCACTATTTCTGGTGGTGCAAGGTGCTCGGGTCTCCTACCGGAAGCCATGCTTTTTTATGAGAAGTTAAATGTGTCAACGAATGAGAAAAACTTATGTGCATTTTCAAATGTACATAACAAAATTTAGATAGCTCCATGTAAAATTTGGTAAATGTGTATCTCAATCTTTTGATATATTTTCAAAATCATGGTCATTTCTGTTGAAACAACTGAATTATTCGCCAAATTTTACCCGCCACAAAAATTGAAAAAAAAATTGTAAAAGTTGAAAGGTAAGTCTTATCCCGAATACACTCAACTCTAGGGGAATAGAGCTTCGAAAATTCACAATACACTTCCATTAAATGTGCTAAGGACCTGTAGACCTTGTTTTGTCACCCATTGAGAAACAGTTTCTTGAATAATTTCTTCTTGATTTTCAATTATCAAACACAGAAATTCAAACTGGAATTTCAACAGTGACTGAGTGAGTTAGACTAAGGTTTAGGGTAGAGGATTGTTCAACAAGTTAAAAGCGAATGACTTTCATTATTAATCTGAATTTTATTGGAGCAGAATCGGATTTTGCTGTATATTGCATGCATTCATTCACCGAAAAATTGGCGCAAATTGGATTGCAAGATTGAAACCAATTTTTCCTTGATAATGTACGTGACAGATAGTAGACTGGGTTGCCCTGCCCCTAGTGACTTTGTCTATGTCTATGTCAATAATCTGCAAAAGGCTAATAAGCCCATATAAAGCAGATATATAATTTAACAGTGATAGAATTTGAATAGAGTATAATTTAAAACCTTAACATTTAAAAATAGATCTATGGTTTGCAACTCATTAAAATTGAAAGGAACTTTCCTGGTTGACCCCTGTACCCCCCTAGGAAGTCCCTTTATATTGAAATACCCTGGGGCGACTGTCAGGCTACCACGTTGACATCACCCCTCTTTACCAGTAGTGCAGGCTTGTTGCTGTGCACTGGGGACCTTTTACATTAAAACATAGATCTACAGGGTGTCCCGAAAGTATGACCCCCCCCCCTAGGCAGACATATTCCAGTGTCGTCATAGTATGTGTCATATATCATTTTAAAGCTTATCCAAAGTTACATTGATTCGCGAAGTATCGTGGTTTAACTCCCAAATGGGAAAAAGTTACAGTCAATTTAAAAGTTAGTGTTTTGTCAAAATAAAGTTCAATTTTACACCACATTACTAGTCAATGAGTCCCCCTTGGCCATGTTAACAGCAGCAATTATTTTCAGATATGACCTTAAAAGCCCTTCAAATAGGGGTGTGGAATTTATAACCCTCTTAAAACCTGTTAAAGTCCCCGTATAAAGTTTGAAAATATTTTTTTATCATTCATTTACTATTTGTCAGGACTTAAAAAGTGATTTTAGAGATTTTTGAACAAAAACATTTTTTTGAAAAAAAAGTTGTGAGCATTTCATTTCTCAAATATTCAAATTTCCCGCCAACTTTCAAAAAAAGTTGAAATTTCTTAATCATCAAATATTTCTTAAAGGACAACTGAAATAGCTTTTCTCAACTTGCAGCTACAAAAATGCGGTTTCCTCCATTGTAAGCCCAACGTAGAGTTCTTGCGATAGCCATTATAAAATAAATGTTAGATAACTGCTAACGGTCTTAAATAACGGAATAAAACTAACCGATCAATCAAATTGGCCCCCATGTGATAAGTAACGTCATATACAAAATATAGCTTTGGTTTATTGGTACCTTAGTAATCACAACGTCACAGCAACCATATGATTGTAGTGTAAACCAAAACAAAACAGTTTGGAATTATGACGTTATGGGCCACGTGGGGACCAGTGAGAGATCACGTGGGGGCCAATAACGTCACAACCAATTCGAATATTGCTTATTAAGCAGCTATAACGATCGTTAGAGTGAAATAGTTTTCGCACTACTGATGAGAAAACATGTCCAAATACATTTATCAAAAAATTATATTGATTCCTTTAGGTTAAAAATACCATTTCATATCTGCTTTAATGCATTTCAAAAAATATTATCTTTTTAACACCAATGCAAAGATTGAACAAAGGACACACTATTTCAATAATAAAATGCCATATTTAATGGGCCACTTCAATGTTTTAGCATATCAAAAATATTTTGAAACATTAGTGATGTCACTAAGGTAGCAAAAACTTTTTGAAAAAAGATTTTTTTTCGATGTCAATCTTTTCTAAATATGTTAGACTTTCATAAAGAAAACAATAAGGATTGTCTAACTAGGTTAAACGGAAGAATAAATTATGTTTTAGATATCATTGTACCATTGGTTTCTATGAGAACTACAATTTTGAAATGCATTTTTCTCAGAACCATTTTCATGCACTGATAAGTTAATTTCTTGCTTATTTATGAACCGATTTTCTTAATTTTTTCGGCAAAAAACATGGGAAGATGAATGCTATGCATTGATATGAATTATGGCTAATTAGAAGATATGAGTGACCTCTAAAAGTTGGTTTTAAATAAATTCACAAATTTTGGAACAAAAAGTCCATCAAAAACCACTTTTTAAAATTAAAAAAAAAGTTTCACATATCACACTTTGATAACATTGGGTTAGACTACAATATAAGCCAAAGTGGCTTAATCTTTATATGGGGCCTTTAAGGCACTTTAGAAGAGTTTCCTCAGAGTTTCTACCCTCACCGTTCTCTTTTTCCAACTCAATATCCATCCGACCCGAAAAGAATTGCTGCTGTTAAGATGGCCCGGGAGGACACATTGACTAGTGATTTGGTGTAAAATTGAACTTAATTTTTACCAAACACTAAATTTTGAAATGCCTGTAATTTTTCACATTTGAGAGTTGAACCATGATACTTGGCGAATCAATGTAACTTTGGATAAGCTTTAAAATGATATATGACACACACTATGACGACACTGGAATATGTCTGCCTAGGGGGGGGGCATACTTTCGGGACACCCTGTATATTAAAAACACACCTATTTAATTGCAGTTATTGACATAGGCATAGTATGATGATTTGAAACTACTTAGACTGTCACAGTCTAAGATGTCACCAGGTAGAGTGTTCCATTTAGCTATTGTCCTAGGGAAATAGCTAAAGTATGCATCCATTCTAGTTGATGGTTGGATGAGCTTAGAAGGATGACTTGTGCAGTGACAAATCTAAGATATATAAATAAAGGCCCAGAGGCACATTCATGCGCCTAGACAGATAAAGAATTCCATGAAACATTTTGTGTTTAATGTTCATTTATGATCGTTAAATGTGTCTGATATTGTTGTTGAATAAATTGTCAATATATATTAATAATATTCCCGGAGATACTAAATAGATCAACTTGGAGAATAACATGCAATTCGTTAAGTTTCAGAGTATTTAGACATGTGTTATTCTGATTTCAGGAATAGGTAGACCTAACTGTTTATTTTTGACCTTGTGGTTAAACAGTTTCATATCTAAAGCTAAATGACATTCTGACACATAGAATCATGGATAGCTGCCGAAATGCTTTCATGGGTATTTTGAAGACATATACATTGCTTGGTATCCCAAACATGCCACAGGCTAATTCACGCTTATTGAATACATTCATGAGGTGCCACATGAATAGCAATACAGAACAACAAAAAAATCGTGGATTTAAAACCAAAAGTAACACAAGTTATTACGACACCCTAGGTATTACACCAAAAGCAACACAAGCTCAGGTAAAAGCAGCATATTATGCACTCTCAAAAAGATACCATCCCGATGTCAATAAGAGTAAAAATGCCCAAAATATGTTTGCACAGCTATCAGAAGCATATGAAGTATTAGGTGATAAACGTCAACGAAGAATGTACGATCGTGGTATCCTTAACCCCACAGATCCACGTTCTGGACATGCTGCTAGTCAGGAAGGTGATGATTTCCCTCAAGGAAAAGCCGGAGAACCATTTTATGGTAAAAGAAAAGCTCCACCACCTACTGGCCGAACCCAAAACTATAATTTCGATGAATTTTATAAGCAGCATTATGGAGAGACTATGAAGCGAAGAAATGAAGAAAAACATAATTTTCAGGATATTGGGGAAATCATGGAACAGAGACGTTTGCAAAACTTGCGTAACATGACCGTAGCTGGTACTATGATAGCTGCATTTATAGCTTTTGTTACCCTTGGTAAACATAGAAGGAGATAATTATAGTGGTGTTTAGTCAATAATATTAAGTAAAACCTGTCTAAGTGGAACACCTTTAGTACTTTGAAATGTGTTCTACTTGGGAGGTGTTCTACCTATAGAGGTTCATTTAACAATAAGTCAGTTGGTTTTGGGATTCTAAAAATTTTTCCACTAACAGAGATGTTCCACTTCACAGGTTTCACTGTGTGTATATATTAGGAGATATTATATTTTAGTATTTAAATACAATACAAAGAATCAAAATTAAAGTCTTTTCATGGAAAAGTTTTCATTTCAGAATGTTCAGTCACATAATCAGGTTTTAATGTACTGGTATGTTAAAATCATAGTTGCATTTCAAGAAATAGTACTTTTAGATAAGAGGTTATTTCAATTACAAGTAAATATTTATTAATTTATTGATTTATCTTAGAAATTGAAACCAGAAGAAGGTTAGTTACCCTGAATCACCATGTGATTATCACTTTTTAAAGACCCAATGTAAAGTTCAAACCACTTTGGCTTATATTGTAGTCTTACACATCATCAGAATGTGGTTCAATCATAAAACCTTTTCTTTATTAGTAGCTCAAATCAAAAGTTGCTCTTGAAGGACATTTTGTTAAAAAGTATGACTCAATTGTAACACACATTATGAATAAGCAATTATCCTACTTACACCATGTACCAATTTATAGCAAACTTGACTCAAAATGAGACTGACCCTTAACTGATTTACATGGATATTGATATCTGCACTCCATCGATACTCTTGGTGGTAAAAATATCATATCTATTGATATATAAAAATACTGTATTTGCCTCTAATTTGGCGAGCATTTTAACTTGGCAAATTTTGGTGAATTAAAAAATCACAAATAGTCGCAAAAATCCCCAGGAATATAACATATTTTTTGTTCTGTGCACTTTGTTATAAGAAAGATACCAAGATGGCTGAGCTGTTTAAATTAATAGAAACAACAAGAAATATTGAAGAAATATAAACAACACTGACAAATGGGTTGGATAGGAGAATGTCTGGTACACTTGAAAAACTGCCAAATTATAATTAGGTTCAAAAACACAAAATCACCAAATTAAAGACAAATACAGTATTACTCATAACTCTCAGGATATCCTCTTTTTTGATGGTCTAAAAATCAAAATATTTGCTGTTGAAATGGAGGGAAATTTAAATATTTAGAAATTAAAATCCCAATGATCAATTCATTTGTAACTGAAGAAAGTTAATCCAAATGAAAGACAATTAATTTTAATATTTGACATCATATCAAAGAGGAAAACTCAAATCACATTAAATTTTAAAGATTATTATTGATAATTTTGATGAATTGATATCATTGAAAAAGTGCAGTATTAGTTGCTTTAAAATATGTTTATTTAAGGATTTAACCCCAGGGCTCAATGAATTGTGGGTGATTTTAAGCATGAATGTCTTGAATCAAGACTTTGAATGAGGGGAAAACAAGAACTGTTGTCTGTGTTTGTTGTCAGTAATAGTCCTATTCGCGTTAGGAAATTACTGGTCATTAACATAAATATTTCCCGCAATGCAACACGATAACATGGACAATTTTCTATTGGTTCGCAAAACACAACGTCATAGGCATTATCCCGATCCAACATTAGTACATATGTATAATAATATTCTATAATCCAGACAATAATTAGAAAAGAAGATGGAAATTCAATTTGCTTCGATTATTTTTTCTATGGCGTCTGAGCAAGTTCCGGGAACTGAGCAACTTCTGGGAAATCTGTGACGTCACTTGAATTTTAAACTTAGGATTTTGACGATTCTGGTGAATATATTTTTAAAAAACTTGTCAAATGTCTTTATAATGATCATATCTATTGTATGTGCAAATATAATTCATGATAAACCTCTAATAAAGTCACAATGCGTCATTGAAAAACATAGCCAATGTTATTCCAATGGGAAAGTGCCCGGATGTTGAGAAAGTTGTACCACGAAACTGAACTCTCCAACGCGGAGATAAGAATATTTCGCACGTTAGAAGTTAGCGCGTATAGGTATATTCTTATGAAACCCCTGGTGTATGATCTATGAGTGTGAAAGTATGGACTGATAATTTTGTATATTACTATATTAGGAGTGATTTCATTTGATCGAAGATGTATATAAATAAAAAATGTAATTTAAATTTTAAAATTGAGATGTTTTGTCCTTTCATAGATAGCCTGTGTAAGTTAGAATTACCTGTACACCAGTCTATGGGAATACAAAAGTATTTATAATGGTAATATTTATGAAAATTCCCTGTCTGGATCTTGAGAAAAGAATTTCATGAATCATTGGGAAAATATTATTCCATTGTATATAATGACTCAAACTGCCCAAAAAATGTCTTGATAGATCAGCATGAGTGCGTGATAAAAAGAGAGATCAAGAAAATGTATTGTGTGGTTCAAATATGAAAAAATTATACTGCTGGGTTTCAAATATGGGATTGGGATTTCTGGCAAAAACTTTGAGCACTTTAACCAAAAGCACCACAGCATATAAATGTACGAGGAAAGTTTTTCAAATGTATAAATTATTTCAGAAAAAGTCTTACCAACACTTTAATTATTTGAAAATTTTACTTTATAATGCTCTCGCATTTTGGGCATGACTTCTCTCATCACTACAAGAACTTTTTGATTAACTTTTAGGATAACATCAAATATGTTTATTTGAGGATAATATATTCATATATGACTGTTACAAATTAATCTGATCATTAATTCTGTAAGGGATAGACTGTAAGTATTGGGTTTTAGGGTAAATAATAGCAGAGGCCGCTAAGACCACACACTGACTCTTGTAAAAGGCAAATACTCTATGATCAAATTTTAGGAAAAATTGATTTCTTTTGTATATTGAATATTACGGAAGTGTATTGAGAAATGAGTGGGTGTAATTAGTTCAGCTTCAGTGCACTGCATGTTACAGGTCAGGTACAGTTTAAAATTTGATTTATTTTGTGTTTACTATTCAACTATTGAATGAGTGAATAGGGTATAATTAGGTCAGCTTTAGTGCACTGCATGTGACAGTAAATCATCTTTTGTGCCACACTGGTTTTGGATAGCTTGCCAAGTGTACATTCTTTAAAAACAATAAAAATTGAATGCACTCCTCTTTGTAACAGCTGTGTATTAGTAAAATTAAACTGCATTCCATTCTATTGTGTTGCAACGAAGTGGGGTTTAAAAAGGCTAATTTATTGGCAGAGCAGGCAGTTTTCAAAATTAATTGTATGCTGATGACTCCTATTCAGCCATCCCCTATACTGTATAACTCTTCAGTATAACTATCATATAAACAGGGGTGGATCTAGGAACCAACAAGGGAGGGGGGGGGCTTATTTGAAGTATGAAAGAAGTTGGGCCCCTAAAACCAAAAAGTGAAAATTTAAAGCCTATTTTCCTGATAATTTGGCCTAAAATTAAAAAATCACACCTTTAAAAAGTTTTGGGCCCACATTTTTCTGGCCCCACCCAGCTAATTCTACCTCCTTCAATATATTATTTTGAATTATAAAATGAAATCACCATCACATTATTTGCACAGGCACCTGAGGCAAAGCTGGATATATCAATGTGAAATTGGAGGCCATCATTCTGATTTTTAATAACACTTGACACATAACACTAAAGGATAGTAAATGTAAAGGCTGAGGATCCCACAATATGCACAATGGGAGGTCATAACTATCAGTTCCTCATAGTATCATAGATCATAGTGATGGTACACAGAAAATAGACATGTAAATGTACGAATTATACAAAGACTCACCAACGAGATTATACACAGAAACACAGAGAACAATGTTAGTAGCTACTAAATGAACATATATATATATATAATTATGAACTGAGGAATCACATGTTATTTTAAGGAATACATGTATATGGTCTACATCATTCATATTTGCACAAAGAGTGCACTAATTTACCTGAATAATTATTTTGAAAGATGCATAAAAAATTAGAAAACAAAGTGACTTACTAATTTTTTCTTTTAAAAAATAGGTCATTAAATTTTTCATACCTTTTATATATAAAATATTATCCACACTCTTTTATAGGTACATGTACATTAGTGCACTCTTTGTCCTAATGTGAAAGATGTAGACAGTGTGAGAAAAGGAGTCCACAGTTGAAAGTAACATGAGGATTTCATCAAAATGGCAGAAAGTACTCATATGTTATTTTCTGGTACAAAATTAAGTATGAATGCATGTGTGTATTTCCTTGCTTTTTTCAGGAAAGTATTATTACATTGTCTACTTTTAGTAAACCTGGAGACAGGTCAATTGTAGCTCCTGTGTTGTCTGGAAACTTTGAAAGAAAATTTGGACAAATAGAAAGTGTGAAATATCAGAATATCCTGGAGTTCTCATTGACCTCTTACCAGATATACTAAAAGAAGACAATGTTATGATACTTTCCTGAAAAAAGTAAGGAAATATACACATGCCTGCACACTTAATTTTGTACCAGAAAATAACATGTGCAGGTATAGTAATTTTTTACCAAAATGTTATTTTCCAGCTGTACCTAAATACAACATGCAATGATGAATTACTATTGACATTGGGCAACAGTGAATATATAAGTTCAATTGATATGACCAAGGAGAACTGTGATGTAGTACTCAAAGAATGAAGTTAAATAATGTATAGTGAACTAAAAAACTAGCAGTGAGATAATTTGTCAAAGAGGACATTTGATGACCTAGTTCTACAATCTGTTATTACATACTATTAATATTGAGGCTGTACATTGGCGGTGCTGAATTAGTATTGATACACAACCCCATGCAAATCAAGGATATATGATAAATATTGAAAGTGTTTATTACCATAATACTAGTATATAACCCCAAGCATATTGATGATATATGCTAGATATTAAGGACATATATGCTATATATTGACAGTGCTTAATTACTATATTAAATATAGCCACAAGCATATTGAGGCAACATGTAAATCAACATATACAAGGGTTTCACCAGAATTTCTCACAACAGGCTAAATAAATTAAAACAACATAAAAGTCCCCTATAAAAACAACAGGCGGTTTTGTGAAACCAACCTGTGAAAATCGACTATAGCCTGCTACTAATGAAACCCCTGATATAATACCAGGCAAGATAACACAAACCTACTGAATGGATGTTCCTGTTCATTTATATTCTAAAGACACCTGTATGAGCTCAGGAAGAATGCCTAATCACAACCTCATCCACACTGCAGAAAAACGATTTAAATGTGACATTTGTTCAAAAACATTTGCAAGGAAAGCTCACTTAGTAGCTCACAATCTGATCCATTCTGGAGAAAGACGAGAAAGACGATTTAAATGTGACATTTGTTCTAAAACATTTGCCTGGAAATCTCACTTAGGAGCTCACAATCTGATCCATACTGGAGAAATACGATTTAAATGTGACATTTGTTCTAAAACATTTGCCTGGAAATCTCACTTAGTAACTCACAATCTGATCCATACTGGAGAAAAACGATTTAAATGTGACATTTGCTCTAAAACATTTGCCTGGAAATCTCACTTAGTAAATCACAATCTGATCCATACTGGAGAAAAGCAGTTTAAATGTGACATTTGTTCTAAAAAATTTACCTTGAAATCTAGCTTAGTAAGACACAATCTCATCCATACTGGCGTAAAGCAGTTTAAATGTGACATTTGTTCTAAAAAATTTACCTTGAAATCTAGCTTAGTAAGACACAATCTCATCCATACTGGCGAAAAGCAGTTTAAATGTGACATTTGTTCTAAAACATTTGCACAGAAATCTCACTTAGTAACTCACAATCTGATCCATACTGGAGAAAAGCAGTTTAAATGTGACATTTGTTTTAAAAAATTTGCAAGAAAATCAAACGTAGTATATCACAATATCACCCATACTGGAGAGAAGCAGTTTAAATGTGACATTTGTTCTAAAACATTTGCAAGAAAATGCTACTTAGTAACACACAATCTCATTCATACTGGAAAAAGGCAGTTTAAATGTGACATTTGCTTTAAAACATTTGTACACAAATCTGTCTTAGTAAGTCACAATCTCATCCATACTGGAGAGAAGCAGTTTAAATGTGACATTTGTTCTAAAACATTTGCAAGAAAATGCTACTTAGTAACACACAATCTCATTCATACTGGAAAAAGGCAGTTTAAATGTGACATTTGCTTTAAAACATTTGTACACAAATCTGTCTTAGTAAGTCACAATCTCATCCATACTGGAGAAAAGCAGTTTAAATGTGACATTTGTTCTAAAACATTTGCAGAGAAATCTAAATTAGTACGACACAATCTCATCCATACTGGAGAGAAGCAGTTCAAATGTGACATTTGTTCAAAAACATTTGCAAGAAAATCTAACTTAGTAACACACAATCTCATCCATACTGGAGAGAAGCAGTTTAAATGTGACATTTGTTCAAAAACATTTGCGCAGAAAGGTAACTTAGTAAGACACAATCTCATCCATACTGGAGAGAAGCAGTTTAAATGTGATATTTGTTCAAAAACATTTGCGCAGAAAGGTAACTTAGTACGTCACAATCTCATTCATACTGGAAAAAAAGCAGTTTAGATGTGACATTTGTTCTAAAACATTTGCAAGAAAATATGACTTAGTAACACACAATCTCATCCATACTGGAGAAAAGCAGTTTAAATGTGACATTTGTTCTAAAACATTTGCAAGAAGATTTAACTTATTAAATCACAATCTCACCCATACTGGAGTGAAGCAGTTTAAATGTGACATTTGTTCAAAAACATTTGCACAGAAATCTCACTTAGTAACTCACAATCTGATCCATACTGGAGAAAAGCAGTTTAAATGTGACATTTGTTCTAAAAAATTTGCAAGAAAATCAAACATAGTATATCACAATATCACCCATACTGGAGAGAAGCAGTTTAAATCTGACATTTGTTCTAAAACATTTGCAAGAAAATGCTACTTAGTAACACACAATCTCATTCATACTGGAAAAAGGCAGTTTAAATGTGACATTTGCTTAAAAACATTTGTACACAAATCTGTCTTAGTAAGTCACAATCTCATCCATACTGGAGAGAAGCAGTTTAAATGTGACATTTGTTCTAAAACATTTGCACAGAAATCTAACTTAGTAACACACAATCTCATCCATACTGGAGAGAAGCAGTTTAAATGTGACATTTGTTCAAAAACATTTGCAAGAAAATCTAACTTAGTAACACACAATCTCATCCATACTGGAGAGAAGCAGTTTAAATGTGACATTTGTTCAAAAACATTTGCGCAGAAAGGTAACTTAGTAAGACACAATCTCATCCATACTGGAGAGAAGCAGTTTAAATGTGATATTTGTTCAAAAACATTTGCGCAGAAAGGTAATTTAGTAACACACAATCTCATCCATACTGGAGAGAAGCAGTTTAAATGTGACATTTGTTCAAAAACATTTGCACAGAAATCTCACTTAGTAACACACAATCTCATTCATACTGGAGAAAAGCAATTCGAATGTGACATTTGTACTAAAACATTTGCACAGAAATCTAACTTAGTACGTCACAATCTCATTCATACTGGAAAAAAAGCAGTTTAGATGTGACATTTGTTCTAAGACATTTGCAAGAAAATATGACTTAGTAACACACAATCTCATCCATTCTGGAGAAAAGCAGTTTAAATGTGACATTTGTTCTAAAACATTTGCAAGAAGATTTAACTTATTAAATCACAATCTCACCCATACTGGAGTGAAGCAGTTTAAATGTGACATTTGTTCAAAAACATTTGCACAGAAATCTCACTTAGTAAGTCACAATCTCATTCATACTGGAGAAATCAATTCGAATGTGACATTTGTTCTAAAACATTTGCACAGAAATCTCACTTAGTAAGTCACAATCTCATTCATACTGGAGAAAAGCAATTCGAATGTGACATTTGTTCTAAAACATTTGTACACAAATCTGTCTTAGTAAGTCACAATCTCATCCATACTGGAGAGAAGCAGTTTAAATGTGACATTTGTTCTAAAACATTTGCACAGAAATCTAACTTAGTAACACACAATCTCATCCATACTGGAGAGAAGCAGTTTAAATGTGACATTTGTTCCAAGACATTTGCAAGAAAATCTTACCTAGTAAATCACAATCTCATCCATACTGGAGAGAAGCAGTTTAAATGTGACATTTGTTCTAAAACATTTGCACGGAAATCTCAATTAGTAACACACAATCTCATTCATACTGGAAAAAAGCTGTTTAGATGTGACATTTGTTCTAAAACATTTGCACAGAAATCTAAATTAGTACGTCACAATCTCATTCATACTGGAAAAAAGCAGTTTAGATGTGACATTTGTTCTAAAACATTTGCAAGAAAATGCTACTTAGTAACACACAATCTCATCCATACTGGAGAAAAGCAGTTTAAATGTGACATTTGTTCTAAAACATTTGCAGAGAAATCTCACTTAGTAAGTCACAATCTCATACATACTGGAGAGAAGCAGTTTAAATGTGACATTTGTTCTAAGACATTTACACAGAAATCTCACTTAGTAAGTCACAATCTCATACATACTGGAGAGAAGCAGTTTAAATGTGACATTTGTTCTAAGACATTTACACAGAAATCTCACTTCGTAAGTCACAATCTCATACATACTGGAGAGAAGCAGTTTAAATGTGACATTTGTTCTAAGACATTTACACAGAAATCTCACTTAGTAAGTCACAATCTCATACATACTGGAGAGAAGCAATTTAGATGTGACATTTGCGCTAAAACATTTGCACACAAATCTGTCTTAGTAAGTCACAATCTCATCCATACTGCAGAAGAGCAGTTTAGATGTGACATTTGTTTTAAAACATTTGCAAGAAAATCTTACTTAGTAAGACACAATCTCATCCATACTCGAGAAAAGCAGTTTAAATGTAACATTTGTTCGAAAACATTTGCGAGAAAATCTTACTTAGTAAATCACAATCTCACCCATACTGGAGAGAAGCAGTTTAAATGTGACATTTGTTCTAAGACATTTGCACAGAAATCTCACTTAGTATTAGTAAGTCACAATCTTATCCATACTTGAGAGAAGCAGTTTAAATGTGACATTTCTTCTAAAACATTTGCACAGAAATCTGCCTCTGTGAGTCATAATTTGATCATACTGGAGAAAAGCAATTCGAATGTGACATTAGTTCTAAATCATTTGCAAGGAAATATGTATAAGTAAGACACAATCTAATCCATACGGGAGAAAAGAGATTTACATGTGACATTTGTTCAAATCATTTGCAAGGAAATCTGAATTAGCAAGTCACGATCTTATCCATACTGGAAAAAAGCAATTAAGATGTGACATTTGTTCTAAACATTTGCACTGAAATCTTACTTAGTAAGACACAATCTCATCCATACTGGTGAAAAGCAATTTAAATGTGACATTTGTTGTAAGACATTTACACATAAATCTCACTTAGAAAGTCACAATCTCATACATACTGGAGTAAAACAGTTTAGATGTGAAATTTGTTCTAAAACGTTTGCGTTGAAATCTAACTAAGTAAAACACAATCACATCCATACCAGAGAGAAGCAGTTTAAATGTGACATTTGTTCTAGAACATTTTCACAACAATCTGCCTTAGTAAGTCACAATCTGGTCCATAATGGAGAAAAGCAATTTGAATGTGACATCTTTTTTGAAACATTTCACAGAAATCTCACATAGTAAGTTACAATCTCATTCATAATGGAGAAAATCAGTTTAAATAAGACATTTGTTCTAAAACATTTGCATAGAAATCTGCCTTAGTAGTTCACAATCTCATCCATACTGGAGAGAAGCAGTTTAAATGTGACATTTGTTCTAAACATTTGCACAGGAATCTCACTTAGTAAGACAGAATCTCATTCATACAGGTGAAAAGCAATTTAAATGTGACATTTGTTCTAAGACATTTACACATAAATCTCACTTAGTAAGTCACAATCTCATACATACTGGAGTAAAACAGTTTAGATGTGACATTTGTTCTAAAACGTTTGAGTTGAAATCTAACTTAGTAAAACACAATCACATCCATACCAGAGAGAAGCAGTTTAAATGTGACATTTGTTCTAAAAGATTTACGTTGAAATCTAACTTAGTTAAACACAATCTCTTCCATACTGGTGAAAAGCAGTTTAAATGTGACATTTGTTCTAGAACATTTTCACAGAAATCTGCCTTAGTAAGTCACAATCTGGTCCATACTGGAGAAAAGCAGTTTGAATGTGACAAGTTTTTCTAAATTATTTGCAAGGAAATCTGTATTAGCAAGACACTATCAAATCCATACGGTAGAAAAGAGATTTACATGTGACATTTGTTCCAAATCACTTGTACAGAAATCTCACTTAGTAAGTCACAATCTGATCCATACTGGAGAAAAGCAGTTCAGATGTGACATTTGTTCTAAATCATTTGCAAGGAAATCTGAATTAGCAAGTCACAATCTTATCTATACTGGAGAGAAGCAGTTTTAATATGACATTTTTTCTGAAACATTTTCACAGAAATCTCACATAGTAATAGTCACAATCTCATTCATAATGGAGAAAATCAGTTTAAACATTTGCATAGAAATCTGCCTTAGTAGTTCACAATCTCATCCATACTGGAGAGAAGCAGTTTAAATGTGACATTTGTTCTAAGCATTTGCACAGGAATCTCACTTAGTAAGTCACAATCTCATTCATACTGGAAAAAAGCAGTTTAAATGTGACATTTGTTCTAAAACATTCGCACAGAAATCTGAATTAGTTAATTACAATTGTAACCAAACTGGAGAAAAAAACAGTTGAAATGTGGCATTTGTTCTAAATCATTTGCAAGGAAATTAGTCAGTTAGTCACAATTTTATCCATACAGGTGAAAAGCAGTTGACATGTGACATTTGTTCTAAGACATTTGCATGTTAATCTAACTAAGTAAATGACAATCTCACCCATGTTGGAGAAAAGAGATTTACACGTGAAATTTTTCTGAAAATTGCAAAGAAATCTAACTTATTAGCATGATTAAGTAACAATCTATCCATAGAAAAGTAGTTTAACCCTTTCTCGACGTGAATATAAGAGGAAAATATTGAACTGGTGACGGATAACATTGATAAGTAAGAGCAAGTAAGTTAGGGAAAAACTGTAAATTACCTATATCCCAGGA